TCAGTGCCTTGCGGGGCATTTACCTCCGTTTACTGCCCGAAAGCAGCACTCTCCCCGGCTGGGCCTCTCCGCCGGGCCCTCGGGAGGTGGGAAAAACCGGGGCAGCCGCCGCCAGGCGCAGGGAGCCCGGGGCTGCCGGTTCCTGAGGGCTGCGGCCTAGAGCCGCCTGCGCCCGGGCGGGAAGGGGCAGCCGCCCACACACACAGCCACAGTCGGATGAAAGAGCTACCGGCTGCTCCGCGCCCTCGCTCCAAAGGGAGCGGGGCGGGAGAAGGCTCAGCCCACACCGCAGAGGGCAACCCGCACCACCCGTACCGCCCCCGCCGCCATTTCCCGGTCGGGCCCTGCCGAAGCCCCGCCCCTTCCCGCCGGAAGCCGCGCCCTCTCCGTGGCGCCAGGGGCGGGCACGGAGGAGGCGGAAATGATGTCAGCCCCCGCGTGGGGCCCGCTGGGAACTGTAGTCCACTTGGCGCTGCCGGCCAATGAGCGCTGTGGGGGGGCGGACTGCATGTCCCGGCAGGCACCGCGAGCGGGCAGCGGGCGAGCGCCAAGCGGAAGTGCGTGAGGAGGAGGTGGAGGCGCCTGGCTGCTGAGGAGGCCGCGGGCGGAGCGGTGTCTGGTGAGTGCGGGTAGGCCCGGGTAGGCCCGGCGGGGCCCAGCCCTCTGCCACCGGCCTCTTCCCTTCCCCATCCCTCCTCCCGTCTCGTACTGAGGGCCCTCCGCGGCCGCGCCGCCCGCCCCGCCCGGGATTTGCCCACCCCCGCCACGTGCCGGGCGCGGCCCCGTGACCCCCCGGGCGGGCTCGGATGCGGCGGGGGGCGCTCCCGGGGCCCGGCCCGAGCGGGGCCTTGAGGTGGGGCCGGGCTCGGCCTCCCGCCGCCGCCGCCTCGCGTCCCCGCGGCCGGTTGGGGCCGGTCTGGGCCTGTCCCTGGAGGCTGCCCTGGTCCCGCTCCGGCCCGGGCCTGTCCCCGGGGCTCATCCCCCTGTCCCCGCCCAGCCCGTTCCTGGCGATTCCCGTTCACCGCCTGGGCCTCTGGGCCCCATCTCCAGAGATTCCTTCCCACACTGCGGGCCTTTGGCTTGTCCCCAGGGGTTTCCTCCCTTCGCCGGTGTCACGGGCTGTGCCCGGGGTCCCCGCATGCTCGCCCCGGCACGGGAGGCGCTGCCTGTATTCCCGGAGGAGGCGGTCGGGGCCGCGGGGCTGGGGGGAGCGGCAGCTTCTGGGGTAGCATCTTGTCCGAGCCGCAGTCATGACCCCGTGAGCTGCGGTTGGACCCCTGGGAGTGTGTAGCTCTCACAAGGCTCACGCGGCACGGGAGGCGCTGCCTGTATTCCCGGAGGAGGCGGTCGGGGCCGCGGGGCTGGGGGGAGCGGCAGCTTCTGGGGTAGCATCTTGTCCGAGCCGCAGTCATGACCCCGTGAGCTGCGGTTGGACCCCTGGGAGTGTGTAGCTCTCACAAGGCTCACGCCCCGGTGCTCAGCGCCGTGTGCTTCTCGGTGCAGCGGGATGGATTTGTTCACTCCCATTCCCCGCTCTGCATCTTCTTGTCTAAAAGAGAAGTTTGGTAAAACCTCAGGTGATGCAGTGGAATGGGCTTTGCAGTGGCACAGAGGCACGTGTCAGCCCTGAATCTTCGTTTTCACCAGGCCGATGAGGGCTTGTTTCCCTAACTCTTGTTGTTCTGAGGAGATTAATGTGTGTGAGGTTTCTATAAATGTGTTTCAAAGTCTCCACAAGGTAATTGTCACTGTAATTGCTTCTAACTGCATTTATGTGCCAGAAGGTGACGCGATAAGTTTGGAATAAGCAGCAATCCATGTAGCAGCCTTGGAGGGCGCAGGTTCACTTCTGTTTCTGTGTGTGAGTAAAACCTCAGGTGATGCAGTGGAATGGGCTTTGCAGTGGCACAGAGGCACGTGTCAGCCCTGAATCTTCGTTTTCACCAGGCCGATGAGGGCTTGTTTCCCTAACTCTTGTTGTTCTGAGGAGATTAATGTGTGTGAGGTTTCTATAAATGTGTTTCAAAGTCTCCACAAGGTAATTGTCACTGTAATTGCTTCTAACTGCATTTATGTGCCAGAAGGTGACGCGATAAGTTTGGAATAAGCAGCAATCCATGTAGCAGCCTTGGAGGGCGCAGGTTCACTTCTGTTTCTGTGTGTGAGAGCTCCATAGACGTGGGGTGGGTGGTGGTGTGTGTGCAGCAACATCTCCTCAGGACTAGTTGGAGGTGGGGTACTCATTCATGGAATTTTTTTTAAGTATACAGTGATGTGTCAGATGCTTATAAGAACAGATTTATTCATTGAAATAAACAATGTGTAAAACAGTTTGGAGAGAGCTCCATAGACGTGGGGTGGGTGGTGGTGTGTGTGCAGCAACATCTCCTCAGGACTAGTTGGAGGTGGGGTACTCATTCATGCTTTTTTTTTTTAAGTAAACAGTGATGTGTCAGATGCTGTGGCATAAGAACAGATTTATTCGTTGAAATAAACAATGTGTAAAACAGTTTGGAGAATGTTATAGGTTGTCTTAAAGCTGATGGGTGGAAGGAGAGGAGCCTTTATCCTCTGCTTCTGCAGCAGAGTCAGCACAGAGCGCCTGTGTACGAGGCTGCAGGGTCACATCAGCCAATGGACATTTTCAGGATGCTCTTTCCTGGGAGCACAGACAATTAAATCATCCAATTACTCTCAGCAAAGGACTCTTGCAGTGTTCCTTCCCGCTAGTAGCGAAGGCAGGGAGTTATGTCAATGTTTACGGTAAGGCCAATGCAATGTTTTAGGTGTTTTTAATGTGCCTTTTATGTGGACGCTGCCCTCAAGTGCTGTGGCTGAAAAGGAGAGCTGTTCTTTGGGTTTGTATTGCATAACCCGATTTTCATTCCTTTAAAAAGATATATTTTGAAGCTTAGCCTCTCAGATTGCCTTTAAGGGACTGTATTGTAGAAACAGAAAAAAAATGAGCATTGAGACACAATAGTGCCTTCTCCTGGAGTGTTCAGTAGTTTGTTCATATACTCACTCTGGCACATTGCAGGTGCCCAGCACAGAGTGGGGAAATGGCTGACTTTGTGAACTGCATTATTAGTTACACAATCTAAAAGCAGGTAAGAAGATAAAATAAGGCAGTTATTGTAAAGAGCTGTCTAAAATGCATGTTCTTGTGACATAGGGTCTGCTGTAGAGTCTGGGGCCTTGTGGTTATGTCTAAATTTTCTTTGGAACCTGCCAAATATTTTTTGTTTCACATCCCTGTTACTGTGAATTAATTGTTCCTGCTCTAGCAGGAACGGGGAGGGGCATGTATGAGAGGTCAATTTGAAGAGTTATCTCTGAAATCCTTGAGAAGCTGACATTGCTGGCTAAAACTGCTGCTCCTGAGGCAGTAACTCCAGCAGATGGGCCTTAGTGTCTTTTCAAAGCTGGTGTTGATTGTGTGAAGTGTGTGATCTGTAACCGATGGGATCTGAGGGCAGGGAGGTTGCAGAGTTCAGGACTCGGAGGGGCTGGCTGCAGCATGGCACCGTTCCCTGGCCCGGGGGAAGGAGGAAGCGTGTCCCTGCCCCGTGGCGTGTCCATACACACGTGTGTTGGATGAATCCATTGCCCACGTTCTGTGTGTAGTTCTTTGTCTGCAGAAGTCCTGCCTGTGTTTCTGCTGAGTTGTGCTCTGGCATCTTCCTGCTTTTTTTTCTTCCTTGTTAATTCCGTGGCTCCCTGTGAGCTCTCTGTCTCTGGAAAACGCGGTTCTGCTCTTCCTGCCGTCTGGGGGGCACTTTCCCTGTGTGCTGGGATTTCAGAGCAGCCGTGTGCCCCTCAGCTTAACTTCTAAGTGTGTTTGCACGAAAGTAAAGTTTTGTCCTGTGTGTTGTAAACTAACTGGCTGTTCCGCTATTAGGGTTGTGGTAATAGCATTTAGCTCTCTGCTGGTTTTCCTAGCTTATTTAAGCCAGGAAGCTTTGTGAACTATTTAAGAAAATAGCCATTTGGGTGATAAAATCATAGAATGGTCAGAGTTGGAAGGGACCTTAAAGATCATCGAGTTCCACCCCCCTGCCCTGGGCAGGGACACCTCCCACCAGCCCAGGTTGCTCAAAGCCCCATCCAGCCTGGCCTTGAACCCCTCCAGGGATGGGGCAGCCACAGCTTCTCTGGGCAACCTGTTCCAGGCTCTCACCACCCTCACAAGAAAGAATTTCTTTCTGGTATCTGATCTAAATCTCCCCTCTTCCAATTTAAAACCGTTACCAACGGTTTTAAACAGGTCAAACCAGGTTTGTGCCTTGTCGGTTCCTGGGGAGGTGTTTGAGATTGACGTGCTGCAGAAAAGCTGCTGAGCCCCTTCTAACGTGGTTGGTGCTGTTAGAAAACAAAAACATTATGCATGTAAAGCACCAGGGTATAAAGTAGGTGGCAATCCATGTAAGGCAGCAGATTTTAGGTTTTTTTTATTTGGTCCCACTTTCTCTACTGTAAAAAAACCTCTTGTTTTGGGAGGCCTAGGAAGTACCGAGCTGGAGTGGTTAAGCCTGAGGATGCTTTTCATTCTAAACCCGTGGTGTTCCCTTTGTAGCTGTATCACTAGCTCCCTGAAAGAATAGCACAGTTTTGCCAGAAACTTGATTATTTGTGTTTTTTAGCTCACTTGGCTTTGTCTTTGCAAAATGACAGTTTGCCGTGTTGGAACTTGTTAATTGTTTAAGCAGCTCCATAGCCCTTGAACTTTTTTCCATATCTGGAAAAGTTTACAATA